TAAACTCCTCGAAATTTGCCATTCTTCCTTTAGTGGCCTTTGTTTTGTTGTTCCTTTCAGCCCACCTACTGCGTAAGTTACGCGGTAGTTTCTCCCACAACTTTCGTAAAACGTGTGCAGTGTTAAGATCTTGCATATGGGACATGCCCTTCATAGCTGAACCTGCCTGCTCTAGGGCAATAGCAAAATCGATCCCGGAGAGCGCTGCCTTCATTAGGTTTAATCTGCGGCCAAGATGATAACTTTGTCACATGTGCGTTGGCTATTTTGAATGGATCGCCGAATTGGCGTTGTAATAGACGCTTTGTTTCACCGTACGCATCGTTAGTTTCCTTTGCAAACACCCTTTGATTACATCCTTGGCCTTTCCTACCGTGTATTGGCCAAGAAAGTAAAGCCTTTCTATGGGATCCTTCACCTTTGATTCTATTAGGGACTCAAAGGCAGTCCAAAATGTGGAAAACTCTAGGGCATCGCCAGCAAACATGGGTGGTTTGTGGGCAGGTAGCAGGCTCCTTGCTTGTTGAGAGGCAATTGTTTGTGATAGCTCAGTTTGTTTCCGTTCCAGGTCTATTAGTTCATAATAGGTGTTGTCCTGAGCACATTGAGAATAAGGTGGTACAAATTCTATTTCAGCAGGACTGGAGTACTGTAAGGGTCGAATTTGGTTGTTGAACACATGACCGGCTGTAGCTGGGGAAGTAACTTGTAGGGTGTTGAATGTATTGTGAATAAAGTTGTAAGGGCATTGTGGGTTGTTCTTTCGGAGGATTGGGTACTGGGGGTGGCTAAATTTGATACAAATGTCAGGTAGAGGGGGTTCCATCAATCACTTCATGATTAGCTCTAGGATTAACACTCGTAGGACATGTTAACCCTTGTGATATATAATCTCCACTGATTGCGGTCCCGACTTTAGTGGAACTTGTAATTGTGTGTATCGTGTTGACATTGGTGGAAGTTTCACTGACTGTTCTTTGAATTGGTGGGAAACTAGCATAGGTAGGGACTGGGTGATCAAAGGTAACATTGCTATTGTTAGTTCCTAAGTCTGAAGTAGGTATGGGTAGTATATCATCATTACTTGCTTGCTCATAGATTTGTTCTGCCTTCCTTGCTTGTGCTAAGACCTTTTTTAATTCCAGCTCTTCTGAAGCTATTTTAAGAGCTTGAGTTTCCTTTAAGTACATAAACTCAACCTCTAGTTCAGCAACCTTAGCCCGTGCTTCAATTAACCGTGATTTTGCTGACACTGTTTGGTTGGCACTGACTGGTTTACTGAGTCGAACAGGGATTTCTTTTAATATTTAATGAGATAATATATTCTGAAGGGTAGATCCCTGCAGGACTTGACTCTGACTACAACTTTACGTTAATCTCTCTAACTATCCGTCCTTTAAACCGTCTCTTTACTCTCGCGTGTCTCTCTTACAAAATACTGATACAACTAACGCCTATAATGTCACTCAAAAATGTCATCACTTAAATGTCTATATAAACCATAACAGAACTTAATATTAACTATATCAAATGTCAAATGTCAAATGTTGCTCGCTATTTACACCAACCCTCCGGGGCCACAGTTCATGAATGTTCGTCTAACTAGCTTCTATTAAAACACATAACTTTTGCACAGACCTTTTGTATTGACCATGCTGCGTTTTCACTAACACATTTCTTACCACACCATCTTTCCCAGGGTAAACTTCTTCAACTCGACCTAACTTCCATTTTCCTCTTGGCGTCTCGTAATCTACCATCAGGACCAAATCTCCAACTTTCATCTGTCGTTCTTTCAATCGCCATTTTCCTCGTTTCTGCAACGTCGGTAGATATTCTTGTATAAATCTTTGCCAGAACTGCTGTACAAGGCTCTGGATAAACTCGAATCTTCGACTCAAAATCTCAGATCTCTCAAACGATCCGTGAGGAACACTGTTCGATGCTCTACCGATAAGGAAATGGTTAGGGGTAAGGGGTTGTAAGTCGTTGGGATCTTAACGCTTGCAGTAAGCTGTAATTCTGACCAATCGTTTCCAATTTGAAGTTTTTTGGATCTATGCATGGGATATCAGGATTGAAACTCCACAGGATCTTGGGTTTCTTTCTTTCTGGATCATTCTGAATGGTCTTCACACTTTCGCTTGGCCACTCGCTGTTTGGCAATTGCAGGAACGCCGGTCCTTGGAACCATCGTTCATACATATTTTTCACATCAATTCCTCGACTTAAATCGTCGGCAGGATTCAGTGCAGAAGGAACATGACGCCAATGACTTGATTTCCATGTTGACAGGATTTCAGCTACTCGAACTCCAACGAATGCCTTCAACAATGCAGAATCGGATCGTAACCAATGCAAAACGATCTTCGAATCGGACCACAGTTTAACTACAGCTGGCTTCGTTTTAAACTCGTTGTAAATGGTACTTGCCAATCTTGAAGCAACCAGTGCTGCCATAAGCTATAATCGTGGAATGGTTGCCTGACGTAAAGGAGCAACTCTTACTCTCGAGGCGATGAGATTAACTTTGGGACCTTCTTTGGTGGGCCAGGAAGATATGCAACCGCTCCATACGCTGTGGCACTGGCATCAGCGAATACATGCAACTCGAATGGACCACAAGTTTCATCAGGACGTAAACAACGCGGAAATGTAATCGTGTTTAAACTTTCCAATTCTCGGAAAAGTTTGTACCACAAAGTAAGTATTTCTTCAGGCAGTGGGTCGTCCCAGTCATACTTCTTTGCTTTCCAGATTTCTTGGAGAGCGACTCTTGCTTTGATGGTTACTACAGAAGCCAATCCAAGAGGATCAAACAAACGTGAAATTCTCGACAGAAGTGTTCTCTTCGTTAACGTTTCTATCTTTATTTCCTTTACTGAAAAACTGAATTTGTCGGTCTGCGGATTCCAGGTGACTCCTAAGGTTTTGATTCCTTCTTCGCCGTCTAGGTTGACATTCTTTGTCGTTGTACATTCACTATTTTCACCAATCACGTTATCTTTGAAATCAGGATTTTCTTCTTCAGGACTAGAAACGTTCTCAGCTTGCATTTCTTGAACAGACGACGAAACAAACCATTCCCTTATCTTAAAACTCCCCGTAGCTAACACGTCGTAGACTTCGCCTTTGGACTTTTCTGCTTTTTCCAGCGTGCTTTTTGAATGAATAAGATCATCCATGTATCGATCACGTTTGAGAATCACGGCAGCTCGAGGACATTGGGACTCATTTTCATTCGCGATCTTGATCATAATGTAACTTGCCATGTCCGGCGATGGTTTATCTTTGGCTTCTTCTTCTTCTTGTAACAACTGACGCGACCAACCGTTTGTTTCGTACTCATTCATGACTTGATTGTACAGACTAGCCTTAACATCGTTCCTTTTCAGGCTTCTTTCCAGCGAAAACAATTTTTTCTCAGCGAGTGAATAATTGTTAGGCAAAAGATTTTTATCTTTCTTCCAAGGAAGTCCAATGATATATCTCCCTCCTTGCTGCTTACAGGAGTTCTCTATTAACTCGATGGCTCTTCTATCGTCAGGTGACATAGCTATCTGTGGGCAATGGCATTGGGGAGCTTGGATTCCGAGAGTTTCAAACTCGTAGAATTTCTCTAGGTTGACGGGTTGGACAAAACTTAATGAACATACTTTGGACGTTTTCTGTGAACTATCAGAACCGATGACAAACCATCCTAGCTTCGTTCTTTTCCCAACAGGCTCAAATTGACGGCCTTGACGTACTTCATCTTCGGCGTGCAAATGACTGAACTGGACACCTAAGATAAGATCAATTGGACCAGCTTTATGCGAGAAGTCGATGTCTCGAAGGTGTGCAAATGATTTCAACCACGGACGATCCAAACGTGGGACACTTAACACGGTTTTCTCGATCTCGTGGTCTTCTATTCTGTGCTCTTCGGCTCCGTTGAGTGCTGAGATTGAGAAAGTCACTTTTCTGCTTCGGGGTTGTTCAACTCTTTCTCCTCCAACAACGGCTAGATCAATTTTTTCTCGTTTGCCTTGCAGACCAAGTGATCGGGCATAATCCTTTCGAATTACTGTTGTGCCTGCGCCGCTGTCGATGAGGACATTTCCTTCGCGTGTTCGACCGTTTGGTGCTCTGAAACAAACTCTAACAACTGGTAGTATGCTTCCCTTGTCTAGCACCGATGATATACCGCTCATTGTTCCAGGCTCTTCGTGTAACAGTTGATGATGAAGTCTTGTGCATCCATTTTTCTCGCATTTTTTCTTCCATCTACAGTCTCTCGTCACGTGACCTTTATTCAGGCAAGAAAAGCACAATCTTGCCTCTCTCACTAAGTTGAAACGTTCTGGGACGGTGGAATCAGCTAAGGTAGGACATTCTATCACTTTGTGGTCTTCATTACACACATAACATTTCAAGGCTTTCGAATGCTCGCTCCTTTGTGCTGCGTTAATTGCGTGTCTTTCTCTTGCTTTGCCCTTTCGCGGGTCATACTTGGGAGGTTTTAGAGGCATATCTCCAAAGTCGGGATCAAATTCCGCCTTTACTTATTTTCCCAAAAAGGTACTAATATCTTCAATCGTAGGGGATCTTTGTTTCTCTCTAATATCGATTACTACGCCTTTCCATTTCGGAATGAGATAATCCGGTAATCTCATTACTATCTTTCGGAGGTTGTCACTGGCGTTGACGTCAGCGAAGTACTTGACTTGATGCATGGTTGCTACGCAATTAACTAAGTCTATCGAAAGTTCTCGAAGCGCGCGTCTATCGTTACGTTGAATCATGTCTCCCTTGGTAAGTTGATTTACCAAAGAACGAGCTATAGTACTTGGCTGTCCAAATTGTTCCTTAAAAATCTTCAATGCTGTCGCATACATAACACCCTTGGACCCAAGTCCCGAAATCGCGCGTTCTGCGTCTCCGGTAACGTGCATTTTTAATTGAATCATTCGCATGTCATCTGTCAAGTGCGGTTTGTCATGAATATGAATTTTGAATCGATCAATAAAATCGGCATAGAAGAGCGCGTTTCCACTGAATTTGGGAAGTTTGATGGTCGGTATATCTTTACTCGCTTCTAATTTATAAAGTGGGTCAGCTACGGAAACACTTTGAGATGATTTGGGCAAAACAGTTTCTTTAAACTCTACCAAATCGTCTAGCCATGCGTCAAAGGGGCAAGGTGTTGTCGGGGAGGATAAATTCGTATTTATTGTATTTTGACCAGATTCTACTGAAATGGGAGAGACTTGTGGGGCTTCAGATATTTTGTTTGCTGGGTTATTTTCAATACTTGACACAGGTATAGTCTCAGGTTCGATCTCAGGCTCAGTGGGAGTCTGGATACTTTGCTTATTTTGCGAGGTACTTTGGATTTGCGAGGTTTGTGATGCCGCAGGCAACGAAATCGTACTGAAATAAAGTTCACTTTCTTCTTCGATCGAATAAACATCGTTCGAAAGATCGTTTTCCCACTTGTCCATCGTCAACCTCGTTCCCAGGGTATTTGCTCTTGGGAAGCAAAGACCCTGGTGGACGCTGGTCACGTGACCCATAGAAAATTGATAGCCTCAGAGGGGGATGGAAAGGTCTCATATTACATGTTTCCACTTCCGCACTTCACACTTCGATTGCAAGGAGTGGCCGTGCTGTACAATAATCTTTGAGAATCATATATTCTTCAAAATTCTTGCTAAATTGGTTTCTGTTTGCCGTTTTAAATTATACAAACATGGTAAAATGCAGATTCTTGTACTAACAGACAAGTCAGCAAATCAAGCAACGAAAACGTATGACCGTATGGTTTGAAATATTTGCGTTTTTAATATTCTCTCGGGGTTCGGGCGCAATATTTTCATTTCATACGTACGTTTCTGTCCTGGCTCTGCCTCTGGTTCAGATATTTACAATATTCTTATAATATGCCATTGAATTGTTGTCATATAGAAAGGAAACGGTATAAATTTTGTAAAATAGAGGTATCAAAAGCGACTGACAAAATTGTTTGGAATCGACACTCGACAGTGCACTTTTTTGTCTTCACGACTACCTGTTTGTTGAGCCAAAATATTGCACAGAATCTCCTATAATAAATTATAGCTATCGCCATTCACCCTCCCACCCTGAATGCAAAGGAATGATATCCGAAAAGATTTAGCAAAGTATTTGTTATTATATCTGGTACGAAGTGTCCCTATACGTTTTATCAGGGATATATATTTATATATACATAATTCATAAACTGTATATGCGCACCAAGTCTCGCTCATAGAATTACTTAATGAGTTTTATTAAGCCTTTTAAAGTTTCTATTGATACTGATAGATAGGTTGTTTGCTTACAGTTACGAAGTATCGTTTGGTGAAACTTCTAAAATTTCAATTACAGTTACGACACAGTATAGGGGTATATACGATAAAGATTAAAGACTTAAAGTTGATTTAAATATTGATGACTCACAGCGGCATTATACAAGTCGAAAGAAGCTGGATTTTAAGTTGGATTATTCTTCAAATAATGCCTGGGCATTAATACCAATGCCAATGAAAGGTCTTTATAAGATTTATAATGTTTACTGCAATATATGATATAATTTAGTCTAGTGCATATATCGTCCTAGATATTCAAGTTGTACCGCACGCACCGAGGAGTCTTGGCGTGTGATAACAGTATACTGTAGCTGTACTTCGACATATATCATTCTTGATCGTTGAGCTGTTTCAGCAATGTAAATAAAAGGAATAACGGGTTTTAATCCTGTGCTTACTGTAATTCACAGTCAAAACAGCACTATTGTTTTTATATACACAGTTGGCGATGTTCAGTACTTCAGTTGGGAAATCAAAGGATCCCGTTATAAAATAAATCCTTTGTTTTGAATATCGGACAGGATACATTTCAACTATAAACAACCATATCATATCGTTCGTTTTATATAAATACCGTTTGATCGATCAGTCGGTGTAGAAGATATCAGATATGTATGTTTATACGGCGATCTGATGCGTGCTCACTAGCCAGGCGCGTGTGGAGTATATTTTTCCTTGCAAGTGAAATATGATCCAGCTTCTCGCTTGAAATGTACCGCAGCACTTATTATTGATGACATTCAATATAGCAGGAAATCTTGTCATGATGAGTACGAATTTAGAACAGTATAAATCATGTTTATTAATACATGTAAAGTGAAGTATACAGCACTAATGCATCTGGCGAATGTCAACTACTACATTCCCACCCCTCCCAGATTGACAAAACAACGCTAATTAAAAATCTGCTAGATTTTAGCAGATCACGTGACCAGCGTCCACCAGGGTCTTTGCTTCCCAAGAGCAAATACCCTGGGAACGAGGTTGGTCCATCGTTGGTAATTGGGATTCGTCTGCCAAATCATACAATTGCGTGTGGAACTCGCGTGCGCTTTCAAAATCGCGCCTCAATTCTGCCATCTCTTTATCAAATCGTGTTTTATTGTGACTGTTTTGTTCAATAAATTCCCTAATACGTTTTATAGAACGAGTGATTCGAGCTCTAAGTTGTCGGCATTTACTCTTAATTGCGACTTGCTGCTCTGGGTCAGTATTTTCTGAACTAAGGGTTATTTGTACTTCTGGTTCGACCATTTCGCAATTTTCAATGTTCAATTATTCAATGTTCAATGTCACGCAATACTATCGTCTTTGATTCTCAAATTACTTGTACCAACACTCGCTTTTGCCTGCTAATCGGCACAGATAACCTTCAGAAGTTGGTTGGCACTGACTGGTTTACTGAGTCGAACAGGGATTTCTTTTAATATTTAATCAGATAATATATTCTATACAAAATGAAAGTTACCTAGTATAAGTATAAAGGCTAAGACACATGCATTCCAATCATATTTTCGCGACATAACATAGTAAAATTGACTAATAACAAAATACTACAAATATAACATATAAAACAATTAAACATCTGTACCTGAAGGGTAGATCCCAGCAGGACTTGACTCTGATTACAACTTTACGTTAATCTCTTTACTCTCGCGTGTCTCTCTTACAAAATACTGATACAACTAACGCCTTTAATGTCACTCAAAAATGTCGTCACTTAAATGTCTATATATACTATAACAGAACTTAATATTAACTATATCAAATGTCAAATGTGGCTCGCTATTTACACCAACGTCGTCACACAAAGCGAATAAAACCACAAATAGAACTTCCCAATTATACGCCACGCCTCCAAAAAACTTCTTATGCTGGGAGCGGTCATCTCATTGGACGATTCTAAATGTAAATGACGTTTCAGCAACAATACTGGCAAAGGATTGGATAACTTTGATATCTGACGTCACTTTCCTGTGACATTGCTCGAAACCAAATGCAGTACCGTTTCGTTCCTGCGGGGAACGAAACAAAAAATTCGCTGCAGTAGCACTTACTTTGGTTTGGTCATGGGGATCGAAATTGCTATGAAAATACGGAGACGAAGTTCTTTCAGAATTGAGAACAGCGTCTGCATTTTTGCTAGCCAAAAGAAATTATCAATCAACTTATTAAAGTGCCACTGTGACCAAATTTTCATTTCTGTTTTTTTTCCATGATTGTGAAGAATGCGTATAAAGAAGCTGCCACACAAAATTTTAGCGTGATATGTTATATTTTGCCTGAGTTATGCGACAATGAATTTCGAATTTTGGCGGCCGCCATTAAAATCCGCCATATTGGAAAGTTCCAGTGTTCGTGAGTCTGTGACGTCATAGTCTCAAGACATGCTGGGCGTGCAACATAAAAATATATACGCGACTATAGTAAAACTCGATCATGCCTTCATCGCGTTGTGTTGTACAAGATTGCAGCAATACTTCCGACAAAAACACGGGTAGTTCATGCATAAGAGCCCAAATGACGAATCTTTGAGAAGAATATCGGTTAGATTTGTGCAAACTAAGCACGCCAATTTTTATCCAAGCTCGCGGGAAATTCGATTCATGATTTGTTTGGGCCATTTATCAACGGATTGTTTTGAGCGTCTATTTTATTTGGATGGTTTGCAAAGACGACTCAAACCAGATTCTGTGCCTACTATTTGGAGGAAAGCGCCTGCGCAACTAACAGCAAGGGACAGACGTAAGGTTTAGTCAGATATGAATATATTTTAGCTACATACATATTTACATAATCTGATAAGTCCAGATAGGTAGGTAAGTAAAACTTTATTTTACTACGCTAACCCCTACAGCAAAAGCTGATTTCCAAGGGGGGCGTAGCATTAAATTCAAATTTACATTAAAAATTTAGAAAAGCTAAACATACAAATACAGTTACTTACATACAGTTATTACAATTACATACATAATTAAATAGATAATAGTACATACAGTACATACATACATACATACATAATAGTAAATATTAATAGATTAAATAGTCAAGGTAAATATGGGTTTGAAAACTCTAATTAGTAGCCAGGTGTCATACGTTTTTATTGAATATAGCTAGTGATTCTTTTCCTCTTAATTCATTTGGGAGACTATTCCACAGTTTAGCCCCTCTATAGCTAAGAATTTTTTTAAGATATTCAGTCTTAGGCTTGGGCAAATGGAGTTTAGTGGAAGAGCCCCGCAAATTATAATGCTGGGAGGAAGACGTCTTTTGAAAAATATCAGTAAGTCGTAAGGGCGCTAGATCATGAGTAATTTTATAAATAAGACTTGCCACAAACTGGGTTCTGCGTTCGCTCAGAGGCTTCCAGTTTAATTCATTTAGAGCAAGTTCAGATTGACCATGTTCATTTCTACGACCCACGATAGCTCTAGCAGCCCTATTTTGTAATTTCTGGAGACGATCAGAAAGTGTGGTACCAATGGTATCCCAAACTTCGCAACAATAATCAAGGTGAGGCAAAACAAGTGCATTATAGGCACAAATTAATGTGTTACGGTCTACACATGATTTTAACTTTCTGATTGCCCCAATTCCGGATGAGACTTTTTTGGCAATTTTATCAATATGCTTTTCCCATGATAGAAATTCATCAATATAGACTCCAAGTGCCTTTGTTTCTCCTACTCTTTTAATTGGCATGTCACCAACAAATACCTTTGGGGTAGCCAATATATTATTAATATTATGCCGTGATCCAATTAGTATGTACTTAGTTTTAACGAGATTTAAAGATAGTTTATTTGCACAGAGCCACTGATTAACGCTTGAAAGATCGTGATTGATGGCAACTTCTACATTATGGAGAGATTTACCAGATACAGTTAACGTTGTATCGTCGGCAAACATTCTTGATAACGAG